ACATTATTTATTTTTCTTTTTCTTTTTTAGGCAAAATGATATAATTCAAACGGCAAAAACAGAAACTCGGATTGCATTGATTGAGGATGCCCCAAAAAATTGGCCCTCCACCTTCGTACAAAGGTCAAAATATTGTAATTTAGTACAAATTAAATTGAAAAATAACTGCTTTTAGGTAAAAAGTGTATGCAATACCATTGAAATGAATTATTGTAGGGTAACTTCCCTGTGATGATTGTTTTGTAGTTTTGTATCACTCGGAGGTAAATTTATTTATTTATTTAAATTATTATTTATTGTTTTTGTTGTTTTTTCTTTTTTTTTCTCCATTTCTTTTGTTATAATATTATAAATTTTAAAATTTTGAATATGACCTATACTTTCTCATTTAAGGCTCCATTAACTAATTTATTTTGGTGTAATTAAATAGGAAATAGCTTTAATCTAGTTTCTACTAACTAGTTTCAACTTAAGAAAAAAAAAAAACATTTTTGAGGTGTAGTTATGGTCACAAACTCAAATGTTAAGGTTATATGTATGATGATTAATTTAATTGATATTTTATCACTTAGTAATTTTTTCAAATAATTAATTATGATATTGAAAATAAATATAAGTTATATTTTTAATTATCAATTATTTTTAATAATTAAATTAAACAAAATCAATATAAACTATGTAATTTTAATATTTAACTATGTAATTGCAACCACACTCTTGAATTAGTTAAAACTTTATTTGATTTAACTTGTAATCATAGCACTTATATTTGTTTTCTCTTAAACACACAAAACATGTGAAAGATATCTAAAAATATATTTTTCTAGATTGATTTAAACAGAATATCAATTATTATATATCATTGTTAAAAATAATATCTTATAATTCAAACAATAATAAACTATAAAATAATAGATTCATCGCTATTAGTTACTTGTTGATAAGTGTAACTATTAACTATAATTCCTATAAGTGAAACCAAATAGAGCATTAGATATTTTGTTGATACATTTTATGATTAGAACGATTTTTTGTTAGTAAAAAGAGTTTCATCCAATTTAGTACTAGGATTTTAATTTTCTTGTCTGGTTTGGTGAGTCTAGGGGCTGAATGAGAAGAAATAAACTTCTTTTTTCTTTTTACAAAGGGAATTGGGGATAAGGAGAAAGAGAAATGAGATAAGAAGGCTTGAATCCAGTGGTGTGAGTGAAAAATTCGCATGGTAACCACACCAACCACGCATAAGGTTCGAGAAGAAAAGAAGAAATAAACTTGAGATCAATTAAGAAAACTTTAATTACTCTATATGTTAGTAGTAACTTGTAAGAGGTCGTTTAGAAATTGAACCAACTAGAAAGATTCCTGTTTCTCAAAACGCAGCCTCTCGTGACTGCTTTCGCTCAACATCCACCGCACCATACGTAGCCATCTTATCTGCAATTCTCGTAGAATGGGGGCTGGGCGTGAAGTGGTGATATTGCTGGACGGAGTAAGGGACAAGAACGTGATGCAGCTTAAGAAGCTTAACACTGCCCTCTTCTCCGTCCGATACAACGATAAGTACTACGTTGATGCTCTCGCTTCCGGTGAATTCACCAAGCTTGGTTCGATTCCTGTCCTGGCTTTCTCACTCTCTCTCCCTTTTCTCATGGCTTTTCTCTATTTTTATGTATCAATATGTAATGCCTCCATATTCGTTGCTTATTGTTCAGTTCAGGCTATCTTTTTATTTGCTTTCTTGTTTTCTCTTGTTGTGGTAATGACTGCTTTATACTTGGATAATTTTTTACTGGTCTGTTTTTGTGTGCATTATATATTGGGTATTGTTTTTTTGGTGAATTTTAACAACGGAAGTCTTCTGTCATGTCACCCTTTAGGAATTGGGGTCTGGGTAACAGGTCTTGTTTGCTAACACTGCCATTATTTAAGGTTTGTTGGAGGACTATTCAGTTGTAGGATTTATAGTAGTTGGTCATAAGCTGAACATAAATGAAAGGAGAAACTTACCTGAGAAATGGGTCTTCATCTTTATATGGCCAAATTTTTGTTACGGAACACGTATGATTGTTCTTACCTCCTTGGTCTGAATCTCTTCAATTTTTAATGTTCTCACCTCAATCATACACCAATCTTTTTTTTTTTTTTTGGTATCATCTGTGCTACGTGTATCTAAGTAGTCCAAGTTCATATCTCTGTTTCTTTTTAGTGGTGCTGTGTATGGTAATGCAGCATCATGGAGTAGAAGAGGTAAAAAGAGAGAAATGCAATGTAATGGTTAAAGGGTAGAAAATAGAGGAACCAAGACTGAGAAGAAAGCAGAGAAAACTGGGGAAAATGGGAGCAGAGATTGCAATGTTAAATTCTTTATATAACTCAAAAGGTAGCATAAGATATAACCATAAAACACGAAGTTTGTTTCTGTACCTGTGTATGTGGAATATTTCCTGATAGAAGACAGAATTAACCCTGTTTTAGTTCTAATTATAAATAGAAATATACATAACCTAAATAAATGGTTCTCTGTTCTCGATTTATAAATAAGGTAATTGGGATTTGAAGTAAATTTAGAAGCTTTTCATGTAAAGTTATTGCATTGTTTGAATTTATTCTAGACCTTATATTTGAGCATGATCCTGCTATGTGTCATGAAATCATTTCTCCTGATCGTTGTATTTATCTTCTTTCTTGCTCATTTCAGCATATTATAGTGACATCTGTGTTGGATCTATTGCTTGCCGCCTGGAAAAGAAGGAAGGTGGGTCTGTCCGTGTTTACATCATGACATTGGGTGTGTTAGCACCATATCGTGGGCTAGGCATTGGTAAGCAACCCTTCACTATAACGGGGTAGCTCTTACTGGGTATTTATATGAAAAACTTGGTCCAAGTACCTAGTCATATTTGTTAGAGCTCCTAGTGCTTTGTGTTTGAAACACTTGATCTTACTCCCTTATTTAAATCGTTAAGGACTTTGAGATATTTTCCTTACCGACAACCTAACAATATTTGTGCAAGTACTGGCCTGCTGTTTTTTAAAGCATTTCTCCTTACAACTGTCAAGTTTTGCTACAGGCAGTGCCACAAATTATTGTTTTATAAGAATATGAATAACAGTCAAAATCTTCTTTTTCCTTGAGAAATTATTTTCTCTGACACCGGAAAGGAAAGGAAGACTTTACTCGAATAAGTTTTGGGGTATACTTGTCTACGTAATATTGTTATTATTATTATTATTATTTTTAATATGTAAAGATTAGATATTAAATCATAAACTTGTGTTTAAGTGTCTACTGTTTTATTAATATAAATTCTGGAATTTGTCCAGGTACAAGGCTGTTGAACCATGTTCTGGATCTCTGTGCCAAGCAAAACATATCAGAGATTTACTTGCATGTGCACACACATAACGAAGATGCCATCAACTTTTATAAGAAATTTGGTTATGAAATCACAGAGACCATCAAGAATTACTATACAAATATTGACCCACCTGACTGCTTTGTTCTTTCCAAGACCATATCTCAGTCTCAACAGAAAAGGTGGCATGTTAAAGCTATACTCATGCGTACACACGCATTATTGCGTATACTCCTGTCTTGTTTCCTGAATTTTATTACTAGGGATTATTGAGGTTACAAGGATGTAATAGTGCTTTCAGCTTCTACAACGTGCCGTACCATTTGATTGCTTATACTTGTTAATACTCTTTCTTCATTCATATTCTTGAAAATTTTGTCACCAAGACCAAATGGCTCAAAGAGCTTGAACCTTTGAGTATGAGTCTTACATCCACGTCCCGAAGGGGCAATTACAACAGTGGCTTAAATTTGCAATTGATCCTTGGCAAAGCTTAGATACACATCAAAACAAGAAAACCGTTGGTTGGTGATTCTATACCAGATGACTATTGAATTTGAAACAGTGCAACTGGGTAAGCAGACTCAGGTTGAATTCCAAGTAAAACTGAAAATGTTGCCAGTATCTATAAGCTAAGAGCCCATTCTTCAAATTGGTACATAGGAAAAGGACAAATAAAATGTGTAATAGACATACATATATACAGTTTCAATACAACTGACCAAGCTTCTTGCACCAAGCATGGCAACAATTCTTATACTATATACATTATTTCAAGTAAGTTGTGTCTGATATCTTGGTATAAAACATGATATAGCTGCATCGGTTTCTTCTCAGTATGCCAAACCACCAGCAAAGACATCCCCATCGTGAAGTAAACTCTCTGTTAACCAATAACCATCCCACGAACCACCAACTCTCTGCCATGAAATCCACTAATTGGTAAAACAAGTATAAAGGGAAGACTTCTTTTGTTTTTGAAAAAGTAAAAACAGAATAATTCAAGTCAAAATTCTAATATAAAGCTTAAGTTCTCAAGTCCAATGTTTATTTAAGTTCCAAAGTTATTGTCTATGATAATTTTGAGTATGATAATTGCAAGGCACATGAGCCATTTTCAAGACAAATGTATAAGATATCTACCAAAAAAAGAAAGAAAAAGAAAAAGACGACAAGAGTTCAAAAACCTCAAACCCCGTGCTTCTTGGACAAGAAGACTTCTCATTTCCCAATAATTTATGATTCTTACTATTACTAATGTAATGTAATATATGACTCATTATTCATCAAGAAAAAAAAACAATATATGACTCATTCTGTCACGAAAATGAAATTATGAACAAAACATAGATGTAGATGCATTTGATTCCTTATTGGACAAAGGAAGAGGTGTAGCTTCTTCGAGATAATAACAAATAAATGTCATTATTTCCTATGCAGATGAATAGCAAACAAATAGTGTGAATGACTAAACCTGGAACATTGTGAATTCAAATATTTCTTCCTCCTCTGGGCGATTTCCAAGTATCCAAATCCTCTGCTTGAAACGATTCTGTTAAACAGTTCAGAAGAACTTAATCATTACAAGACAGTTGAACAATTGTAAAGCACAGATATGCAAAACTAAGTCATAATCAGTGTAATCTAAAAAACAATTCAAACCTCCTCTACAAACAAGCTACTCAAGATCTTTCTCTCTTTATGACCAAGTAACACACGATAAGTTGAATGGTGAAAAATCCGCCTAAACCTTTCAAACTTCATTAAAAGAAGCAACAAATCAAGGAACACCATCAGCAATTCAGCATAACTGCCACAAATCATAAACTTTGAAGATTCAGAAGTCACTAACCTGCCCCAGGTCAAAGAATGGCCCAAAGTAGGTAGACCTTTCAAAAGGATCAAATCCAGCAAACTACAAAATAAAAAGAAAATAAGAGAAAATAAAAGAACAGTCCTTGAGAGCCACAGCCTTATATTGTCAATAAGGAACACCAAAAAGGAAAAATCTCACAAAAGACAGATATAGTTGTTTACCCTGTACATGACCTCAATCCCATAATCTTGTCGGGGTTTGTCATTGTACTTCAAAGCATCAAGTTGGTGCTGGATAGCTTCTTCTGCACTAAACTATAAAAAGATTTTAACTTAGATGGTCAACAACAGATAAACAAGAGAAGAACACACTAATCATTTACATTTGCATGGTCCAGAACTTACACTTAGCCTTGGACCAAAAGGTCTCTTCCGGCGAGATTCAAGCCTGCAATAGAAAAGGCTAGCTAATTGGTATATGAAGCAAAAATGAGTGGTCAATGCCAAACTGAAAACTTCAATAAAACACTGAGGCCTTGCAAGTTGCAACTTTTCTACTAAACAGATTTCACGAACTCCACTCAAAACAAAATCAGAAAATCAAGTTCTCTGATCTCTATCATTTTCATTTGCAAGAATAAAAAACTCCTTACACCCTCCATTTTCTTCACCATCTTCGTTTTGCTATATTTGGGCAATCAAGCAAAGCATTACTGAATCCCAACAATTAAAAAAAAAAAAGAAAAAAGAAAAATTGACGACAAGAATCAAAATTTCAACCAGAACACAACGTGGGAACATGAAGATTTGGCTATAGGAGAGAGTTATTGATTGCATACCAATCTGCAGAAAGAAAGTCGGGTACTTCACTAGCGGAAGAAGCTCTGAAGCGAGGGCCGCCATGGATCCCTGCGTATCTGAGACTGGATTTTTTGGATAAGAGAGATACAGTATGCGCAGTTGCCAACGAGGGGCACAACGACATCGCTTTCTCCTCCTTCCACAGAGGGACTCACTCACTCTCCTCCCGGAACGTTGGAGTCGGGATGAGCAGGATGAGGTTGGATTCGATCTGGACCGCCGCGAGTCAAAATAGAAATATCAGACGGTTGACGGCGGACCGCCTGTATTGTTCCTTTCGGTTAAGATAAAAAATACAAATGCTAACTTCGATTTTCTAGCAATTACGGTTTTTTTTTTTGGGTCATTTTGTGGGAATTTGGAAACTAATTTTTTTTTAGTTTTCGTTAAAAAACTTATCTGTACTATAATTATAATTAGAGAATTCATTAAGAATTAGTTTCAAAAAAGAATTCATTAAGAATTAAATTTTTAAAGATTTTTATAAAAAAATTAAATTTTTAGTTAATAAAATGATTCAATAAGTATGATATTTTGTTTTATTTGTTCTTAAAAGTGAATCACTTTATTATGAATTTAAAATTTTAATTTAAAGATTTTATGTTAAGGTTTTAAGTAAAATAGAAAAATTAATATTTACTTATATGACTTATCATAAAAAATGTACAAAAAAATTAAAAACATATTTTACAATTTATATTATACTAAACTAAAAAATATAAATTTTTATCTTGTGAGCTCTTAATGTTGAAAATCCTCTTTTATCTAAAATTATTATTTTATAATTTAATATAATTTAAATAGTAAAATAATCGAAGTTGTAAAAAATTTGTTTTAGTTAATCTTATTTCTCCTTTTGGCAAATTCGGTTTGTATTTGTTGATTGACTTGCGCTGTAGTTGTCCATACAAGGACTCAAATCGGCTAATAGCAAATGTTATGGACTCGACTCGGTTCGGTTTACGTTCCTACCAAACCCGAACCGCAGGCTGTCTCACTCGGTTCTGCACTGCTTGTTAATTCTAGCAAACAAATGCGGCTTTCTTCCCCGCACCTACGCCTACGCCTCCGCTTCCGCTTCGTCGCCGCCGCCGCGTCAGTCCCCAACACCACCGCCATGTCATCTCGCCCCTTGGTACCTTCCCTGTTCGCTCTTTTGCCCATAGCACGCTAACAGCATAAGTATATGCATCAACATCTTTTTTTTTTTCTTTTTTTTTTTTTTTTTACAGCATAAGTATATGCATCAACATCTTTTTTTTTTTGTTCAGTACCGAGGTGGACGCAATCAGGGGCGCAGAGGCTTCTCCGACCGACCTGGCAGAGGCGGGAGGGGCGGGAGGGGCGAGCTGGTTACCGGAGACTCGCACTACCAATCAGTTCGAGACGCGAACCTCGGCTTCCGCCAAGGAAACCTCTCCGAGCAAACCTCGTTTCAGCCTCAGCCCTTCAGTTTCAATCCTAGACCTCCACCGCCACACTACCATAACCACCAACAGTTTCGCCAACCGCCACCGCACAGCCAATATCAGACGCAACGCCCACTGTTCAATCAAAATTACGCGCCCCGGCCATTCCGGCCCCGCCCACACAAGCCTTTGGATTACCGGAGCTGGGAGCATGCCAAAACGGCACCTCCTCCTAATTCTGGTGACCAAAATCTCTTGTGGTTAAGCTCTTAGTCAATTCAGTTGCTTTCACGTTGATTAAGTTTGTTAATGTGTGTAATTTGCAGAGAGGTTTACTGTTCTTTCATATAATATATTGGCTGACTACCTTGCCAGCAGCCATCGGCCTAAGCTTTACTTTCACATACCTCGCTATATGTTGGATTGGGAGTGGAGAAAGAGGAGTTTAATTTTTGAGCTTGGATTATGGTCAACAGATATAATGTGTTTTCAGGTTATCTCTCTAATTGCATTTCAGTTTTGGAGTCAATGTCTTAATTTAAAGGAAGATATTAGAGATGTCGGGGTTGATTGTATCTTATTCTTTTCTGCTCTTGTTTCTTCTGCTTAGGTTTTTCTTGTACATAATATTATCAACATTGAAGCTTGTATTAGCAAAAGGATGTCTCAATAACATAAGTTCTGCATTCTGTTTCTACTTTTTCTTTAAAGTTCTAGTATTTGTTCTGAGCAGTGAAATGATAGTCCTAAGGTTTATATTCTTGTTACTTTGTGGTTCACTAGTTTGTCCAATCAGTCATTACTTTTGCTTTGGAGTTCGTAGAATCAATGCTGTTATAGGTGCCAATATTTGGGTGCTCTGTAGATCCTGTCATTAATATTTTTTTCTCTATATTTAATTCACTCCGGCCTTATACGGGCATTCTGATTTTGGCTCTTACTAAAGCAGTTATTCTTTGATAGCAGGTTTCAACTTTCACGTAAGTGGTGATTTTGTGCATTATATGTTCTTTTCTATGGTCTTCTCATCTTGAAATGGTACATCCTGTTTGCTTATTGTAGGAGGTTGATAGATTTCAGGACTTGGAGGAGGAGTTGAAGATCAGGGGATATAATGGCATTTGGAAGGTCTGGTATTGACTGCTTTGTTGGAACATTCACATCTCCCTTCTACCCCCTTTTTGCTAGTTCTCTTTGATACAAAGTGATGCAAATCTATCTGACACTGGTGCAATCAAAAGTGTATACTTCTATAGTTTAGGTTTTCAGAAGCTATAGTGGACTGATGATGTCTGATATGTTTTTATCTGGAGGTTGTTTGTCGTGATATCTAAGTTCTGACTCTGCTGGGTTATCTCACAGATGCGAACTGGCAATGCAATTGATGGCTGTGCAATCTTTTGGCGAAGTTCAAGGTAATTTCACCTACAATTTTTCTGTACCCTTTAGTTGTGAGCATCAACATCTAATTTACTACAATTGTTGGGAACTGATACTCCCCTTTTGCACTGTATTTTGATTCATTTCAAAGAGAGTTGGCTCTGAACTTTATTTTTGAAGCACACTTATTTTTTGGTTCCTTTTTGATTGGTTGCTTCATTTCATGGTAAAAGTATTAGTTTCATTTTTTTTTCCCTCCAGATAATAATGCATCCCTTATTAGTTGATTTATTTGATAGCAATACCAAGCAGAGCATGTCCAGATTCTGATAAGAGTGTTGCCCTGGTTGCTATGTCCACCCACCAGTTATACTCCCTTGAGTGGTATTATTCATAATGAAAATATTATTGTTCGCTCAGTGATGCTCAGGCCTGGTTAAGGGCTTTCTTTCTCCTGGTTTGCCATACTTTTGTCATGTTTTTAGTTCTTACCATTTTCTTTAACATTCCTTCAAGTTTTTAACAGACTAATATCAGGTTTATAATTACTTTTGCAGTCATCTTTTCTTTTAGTTTCCTTTTGGAATGTTCACCTAGCTGTATGTTTAGGCCCTTTTCTCTCTGTACTCTTGTTACTAATAAAGAGTTTAGTAGTTGGATTTTTCTGTTTCCCTTGGTCATTTTTGCAGACATCTCATGCACACATACTTAAAGACATCCACACATGGATATACTCTTGATGCTATTGCTAAAATAAAAAAATAAAATAAAATAAAATAAAACTCTTGATGCTATCATATATAAATTTTAAAGCAAATTTCATAGAATGCAGCCTAAGGGTTCTTCTGATGATCTTTATCTCAGGTTCAAATTACTCTATGATGAAAGTATTGAGTTCAATAAGTTTGATCTTCGGGATAACGTTGCCCAGATATGTGTACTTGAGGTATCTCTCATCTCTTGATTGTGAAAATTACATGGATTTATTGATTTTAGTGTGATTTTATCAGACAGATTTCATTTTTTCCTTGTTGACATGGTTTTAAGTCAATAAATTTACTTTTTTTTTTAATATATTTTAAACAGTTATTGAACCAAAATAATGCTGCAAATACAGCATCTCCTCTGAGAAGGTAATGTAGGATATTTTAAGTTTTCTTTTTTGATTTAACTTAAGAAATTTTGCATAGAATTGTATTGTATGAAATGATCTGAAATTTGCATGTAAAGGGATATTTTGAAACACATTAGTATTCTGTTTTCTTATTCTCAAACAAAAAGTGAAAACTATCCGTTGCATGTTTGCTAATATTCCAAACAATGATACAATATTTTCGTTTTCTGAGCTTGTGTCATATTTAGTTTCTGCAGGGGTATCTTCATATTTTGTTTACACAGTTACCCAAGTGCTTTTCAATTAAAAGATTGAATCTTTTGATTGTTTCATTTATCAAGTTAAGAATTTAGCATGCAGCATCTGAAATTTTGCAGCTCAACAGATTCTTATAAAGTTGTCATATGTAACATTCATGTGCTATTTAATCCAAAAAGAGGAGAGATTAAGCTTGGCCAGGTAATTAGTTTTCTGAGTGAGGTTGTCAGGTTTTATCTTGCAAATTTAATTAATATACGGTCCTAACTACTTTTATTTTGTCATATGTTTTCACTTACAGGTTAGGAGGCTACTAGATAGAGCTCATGCTGTCTCACAGATGTGGAATAATGCTCCAGTTGTTCTCTGTGGGGATTTTAACTGCACCCCGAAGGTTGTCATTTTCTTACTCCTTAAGCACCAATAGTCTTTTTCAGTGGCATAAGTCTTTTGTTTTTAGTCTTTTAGAGTATTTTTGAGTTTGATAGGTGACGTGGATGACACACTTATTTTTGTTACAGAGCCCATTGTACAACTTTATCTCAGAACAGAAGGTAATTACATTTTTTCCTTTCTCTCCTTTCTGCATTGTTCTCTTTTTTGGCCATTCATGATGAGTGATGAGTTAAGCTTTCAATTACATTATCTCATGCAGTTAGATTTGTTGGGACTGGATAGAGATAAAGTATCAGGACAAGCCTCTGCTGAAAGTCGTTCTTCAAGGCCTTTTAATCCTAACCCAGGGTAGTGCTCATACTTGTCAATTGTTTATCTGTAGAATTATATGGCTTTTGTTTATGCTTCTGATTGTTGAAGCTGAAAATCTTGCAAATTGCAGACCTGAGTTAGCTAGTTCAGTAAGGCATCCACCAACAACAGATGACAAGGAGGCTGCAACTGAGAGTAACGATTCCTCCTTGCACGTATTGGAAGCAAATAATATAGATAGAAATGTGGAAAATGATCCTTCTGTGAAAAATTTGTCTCAGCCTAACGAGACAGTGCTGGGTTCATCTAGTTTGTCTTGCACCATTCTTCCATGTGGAAGTAAGGATGCACAAGATGATGAAGAGACAAAATTAACTCAGCAGGCTGCTCTAAATTTTCCAGAGGCTGAAAATGAATCACCATCTGTAGTACCAGTTGACAACTCCAGGGAAAATTCAAGCAATTTTAGTGAAGGTAGATTTCCTTTAGATCAGATGAATGAAAACTTGCAAAAATTTTCTCCTCCAAGAGCTACTTGTTCTGAAGATCTTCATGCTGATCTGAGTCAGGTGGGAGAGAGAGGAGAAAATGCTGCTTCCCATTCTATCCAAGGGGCTTCAAGCACAAATTCAAGGACAAATATTAGTACAGAAAATCAAGCTGCAAACTTTGGTAACCTAGTGACTCATGATCATTCTACAAGCATCAGGACCAATGAAGAGAGCAGTCAACAAACTTTTCACTCAGAAATTCCATCAAGTGGGTCATTTTGCCAGACTCAGTCCCCTGATTCTCTCAAAGTTTCTACTTCAGGAATCTCAGCAAGTCAGACATCTGAACTAATTGTTAACAATGAGAAAGGTAGCCCTACAATCACATATCAAGTTGACTTCTCAAGTCTGTCTACTGGCATTGAAGAGAAAGTGGAGAAATTATCTCTTGAAGGTGAAACCTTGGTGGAAAGCATAAATGAAGATGAGAACACATTTTTGGCTGCACTGCATGGCAAGGAATCAGATTTAGAAATTTCTAGTCCCCAGAACTGGCACCTAACTTCACCAAGTGATGAAGTTCTGGATGATTTATCACCTTTTGAAGAAAAAACTACTTACAATCCATCATTATGGACCCCAATGGATATAGCAAATGCAACAGGCAGTGAGGATTGCACTTGTTTGGAGCACTCTCTACAGCTAAAAAGCACATATACAGAAGTAGAGGTGGTTCATTGTTTATCCTTACTTCCTCATATATTTCAGTCTCAAAATATCCTTCATGTATGAAATAGAATGTTTTTTGGTTTTGCATCTTCCAGGATTGTTCGGAGACAAGAGACTCTAACAGGGAGCCCCTTGTGACCAGTTACCACAGATGTTTCATGGGCACACTAGATTACATATGGCAAGTATTTATTATGCTTTATATAATTACATTTGAATATGGTTGGGCTTTGTCCCAGTTTTGAGGTTTTTCTCAAATGAGCTTGCAGCTTTGACTACTTTTAATATCTGTTGTAATGTTTTACTTACTGTTATAAGTTTTGTTTGTGAAACCTGTTAATAGATATAGAATATGGGTCCCTCCACCTATTGCAATTTGGTTTAAGGTTCCATAATCTTTATAATTTGTTAATATGGCTTTGAAATTAATAATATGTTAATATGGCTTTGAAATTAAGTTTGTGTCCCTTCTTTGTCCTGGTTTGCTGAGAAATAATATGAAGTTGGGAAATGTTTGTTTATTATATATCTTGGTATTATAATATTAAAGTTTAAATAAAAGTATCCTATTGAGAATATATACTTATGGTTTCTTATTTTTAACGTTCAGGCGGTCTAAAGGCCTCCAAACCGTAAAGGTGCTTGCTCCGATGCCTAAAAAGGCTCTGGAGTGGACGCCCGGGTTCCCAACAAAGGTATTATAGTCATTTCAAGTTCAACTCTTTTCTTGTTATACAACTTTCGAGTTTGGCCTCTGTGAAATCATCCTTATAATTGAAAACTGAATTACACCGATAAGACTATCTTTAAAAATGGATTAATTTTTAAGGAAACAAAGGGGAACATGTCGTTAATATTTGTTCAGAAGCTTTGTCATTCTTTTGAAATTGCACCTTTGTCCCTAAGAGTCCATCATCTTAAGGGCTGAGTTATATATTGTAGTCTACTGGAGGCATTTCAGTGTCAGTTTGCGTTTAATGTGCTTTCTTCTGGCTGTGTTTTTCAGAAATGGGGCAGTGATCATATTGCCTTGGCTTCAGAATTGGCATTTGTAAAAGACGAGATCAATCAAGGTGCTGAAAGTTCCGTAGCTTGCTAGTTTTTTGTGCACTTGGAGTGTACACAGAAATAGCTCCGAGAATCCCTCTTTGCTCTCTCAACATTTGGTTGTAAGTGGCATAATGTATTCCATAGAGAATCAAACTATCATTTCTCAACTCCCTTTGCGGGTTGTCGGATGTATTTTCACTTAAAAGGAAAACTAAATGTTTATTGTTAGAAATAAATAGTATAAGAGTTTATTATTTAAATTGTATTAAATTGTAAAATAAAGATTTTTTTAATAAGAATAGAGAAATATATTAAATAATAAAAAATTACGACTGAATTTTCATCTCATAACATTATAGTCGCAAACGATAAAATCTAAAGACAAAATCATAAGTATAACTTATAGTAATAATAACATATTTAAACTATGCTTATGACGAATATAAACAATTAAGCAAAAAAAGTCATTTACAACTAAAGATTGAAATTTAAATCGTTGTATAGGCTAAATAGGATTATTAATGTAGAAAGGAGAGTCACAATGAGCATTAGAAATTACTAGACTTTTTTACCTATTTAACTAGCTTCATGAGGAGAGCAAAGGATTCTGGCAACAAACAGTTTCTAACCCACAAGTTGTCGTCCTATTTATTCTTAAACAATAACAAACAGAAGGGGCATGGGCCTCCTTTGAACAAGCACAAGCATAAGACACCTTAGTCGCTTTCATGTACTCCCAATCATGTTCCCATTTTTTGCCAATCCTCTGCAAACCCTTACTGTCGAAGCTCCTTAAGGGAACTGGAGCCCCTTTGTCAGCTTGAATATCATGCTTCCTATGTAGACCATAACTAATTTCACCAACAGCATCCCTTTCCTTCTGTATTTGGCTACCTAATCGAATTCTGGAGTGAACTAGTTTCTCTGAATTCAACCCTTGCCAAGATCTTATCCGAGAAGATGCACTAAAGCAAGGTTCTTACTTGTTGAATAGGAGAAACCTAGTCCACCAGCAAGATTAATTCCTTCATTATTCCGGTTGCAACCTTTTGAAAACAACAACAGATGTAGATTTAAATATGCTGCTACCTTGTGGTCCCTTGGGTTGAAGTTTTCAAAGCAAGACAATCAACTAAGATGAATGAAAAAATCAAGAGGAGGAAGGTAGGGGTAAGAAGAAAGTAGGAATGAAGGAACTCTTCTGCTGAAGAGAAATCTTAAGGAGGAAAATCCACCGCCTCTACCTTTAACCTTAGGAGTAATGCACTGGAGGTGTAAAATAAAGATTTTTAAATAGGATAATACTCTTAATATTAAGGGTTTATCTTTTATTTAATAGTTCATAATTTTTAATTTAATATAATTTAAATTGTAAAATAATTTTTCAATAATAAAATACTAAAATAATATTTTTCCCTTAGTAGACTTCATTAAATAATGATAATATTATCAAACAAATTGTGGACTGCACACTATTTTTTAATTATTTTTAAAATATTATTTTAAATGTCATATAAATTTATAAAATTAAAATAAAGCAAATCACTATTTTTAGGTAAATCATATGATAGATCACTCAAAGTGTTACATCTCAATTAATTTTTAAAAAATGCAATTAAAATCTATAGTACTTTAAAAAAAAACTTATTCACCTTGACATACGATTTTTGTTGTAAAAAATAAAATAAAAATTGTTATATAAAATGATCTTATCCTTAAATACAATAAGAAAATATAGCTAAAGCGACAAAAACTAGTATATGAGACAAAAAGTGAGGAGGTCAAAAGAGAATTTTGACGGTGGAATTGAAAAGATATATTACATGAAAGATTATAATGATTAAAAAAAATATCAATTAAAAAAAATAAGAAATATACGAAATATTTAACTTTGATAAGTTGGTAAAAGACAAAAAGAGACCCTATAACATTTTGATATTAAAGTTCCTTAAAAGATCAAAAATGGAGATAAAAAAGATAATGAATTTTTAATAGAAATTGTGATATATGAGGGCCCAATAAGAGAGATGAGAGAAAAGAATATAAATGATGAGAGTGATAGGAAAAAGAGATCAAATAGAAGAGAGATGGGAAGAAAAAAGTGAGTGACAAGAAATAGGAAGGAGGACTCAAGTTTTTCATTCTTAGGTTTTATCTTTATATGCGAAGAAATGATCCCTATATCCTCCAAAATTTGCCTGACCTGATAGTTCTTTTGTCCTCATTACGGAGTGATACTTAATGGGGGGTTTTGTAAGTGTACTAGTTGACACTGTAATGGCTTACTGACAGCATGATTTCACATGGGGTCTCATTCAACCTTACTGACTTTCACAGTGCGGGTAGGTATGTTTGGTTCGACCTTGAAACTTGATCACTCTTGCCTTGAACAAAGTCACACCCACAGCACAGGCAGCAGTAAAATTCAGAATGGTGGGTTCCCAAGAGCACCTGACCCTCTGAAAATGGAGCACCAACAGTTGCAGGAGTGCTGGATTGGTTTTTATTTTCCTTTTAATTTATTAAATGCTGAATAGTTCATGCTTTCCCAGGAGAGCTCATATCTGTGTGTTCATTTTCTCACAAAGAGAGCCAATTAGCAATGCAAAAACACTTCAGAGTTCTACCTCTTAATATCATTTTACTGTTTTTTCTGCAGTGACTTTGTTTCGTTTGAGGGGATGAGAGAGAAGGAAAGGGAGAAATTTACTTATTCGGATTTAAAAAATTTGAGCGAATGTGCACAGCAGGAAAGCACTCCAGGATTGCAAGTAAACAAAACTCACACTACACTCTGCAGACTACAGTTAGGTCGGTGCAATTTTGTCAAAAGTGACCATTAAATTTCACAAAAATGACTAACTCCCAACTGCATTTTCACTTTTCATTTATTGCTTTATGTTAGATTTTACTTATAAATAACTATGTTCCCGTTGTTGTATAAATAAGTTTCAATCAAAATTTCAGTTTATATTTCTCTTCTTTTGAGTGAGTTTTTTAGAAGTGGATTCTCTCAATTTATCTCTGTATCTTAGGTCTTGCCAACCTAAGTGGTGAACCTGATAATCGAATTCATCGTAGTGATATTCTAAATCTCGCCAAAATCGATGTTTTGGTATCGACTCCTACCCCAAAATGAGATGGGAGAGAAGAAAATGGCTTTTCCTTTATTTGTTTCGTATTTTAGATGAGCAGTGCTAGGGGCACTCGCTTTCTGCACTCTCCGAGCAACACTTCCCCTTTCATTCTGCCACGTAAGCTTCTTTTAAGATTTCAGGCGAACCTCTCTGGAACCAAAATAACGTGGCCCAATAAAAGAGAAAGTGTTGGCCGGAGAGTGTAGAAAGCGAGTGCCCCTAGCATTGCTCATTTTAGATTAACCAAACAAAGAGAGAAGTGAAATGGAAGGAAATTTTTTTTTTTTTTTTTGAGAAATGGAAGGAAATTAATTCTACAGGCGCAAGTCCTAGCTCCAATTTGGAGAAAAAAAATTATTAAAGCAATGACCGAAAGTGATCGGCAATATAAAAGTTTAAACTTAATTGTTAATTGTTTGATTTTGAATTAAATAAATAAATAAATATATTTTTTTAATAAATTATAATTATTTACCTGTGTTAATTAAAACATGAAAAAAGAAATTATGTAAGATTCAAACACTTAACTCACAAGAAATGAATTACTCTTACCCAAGATCCATGTCACTAGGTGAAGTAGCTGTTCGAACAAAAATATTTGAATCATTAAAAAATAATTATTTATTATTGCATTTTAATGGTTAATCTTAAATTTTTTTAATGTATTTTTGCATTTTTTGTAGTATTAATTTATGTTAAAAAATATAAAAATTAACATTAATTTTAATATTGTTGATAGTTCAATAAATTTAATTTAATAATTATTACAATAAATCTACCCTTGTACCAGTAAAGTAATATGTTAGTAAAAAAACATAAATCTTATTTGGTATTATACTCAAACGGTTTTCCTTTAACTCGTATACTCTTATACACAAATTAAAAGGTAAGATTAATATATTTTTTTATAATTAATTTGTATAAAAAATAATTATTAATTTTAAATTAATTAATTAATTAACTAGTTAAGATTATTCAACATATAAATAGTGTTCTATTAAATATTAATTTTTATAAAAATTAATTATAAAAATATATATTTATTACACTATTAATTTATATTTTTAAAATACAAATTATACAAATTCAAATCCAAATTCTTAACTTAATATCTTGGCTTAATTCAAAAAATCATCCACTAACTTTAAGTTTAATTTCAATTTCATCTATCATTTTTAAACTATTTCATTTCTGTCTATTATCTTTTACATTTATTTCAATTTTATCTAACCAGTTAAAGTTAACAGAAATCCTAAGGAAAATCTTTTTAAACCTTAGGACTCTAACTATGTTTCTTTTAATCTTTTAGTTCTTAAATTTATATTCACAGTAAAAATAGTTTTATTTTTATTTTGCTAAATGTGTTTTTTAAAAAATTGTATTACAGTGCAGACTGCTTTCAGTCCACCATGTAAAATTATTTAAATACCCTTAATTCTATTTTTATATTATTTTTGTATGAACATTTAAATAATTTTATAAGATAGATTGTATAAAGTCTGTCTTATAAAACATACTTACTCTTAAAATTTTTTATTCTGAACTTACTGAATTTCTCTGTCTGAATTACAATCTATCCCTATAAACTATTTTTTGATTCATCATATTTTATTAAGATTTAAGTGTCACTTTTTTAAAACTTAAAAGATTGCTCTTTCTCCAAATCTAACGGCAATCTAACGTCCTCTTTGTACGTAAACTAATTTGAAATATTTTTCAAAGTTTCTAGATCATTTAGAAATAAAACAAACTTTCTAGACTAAACTGAAATTAAACTAAAAGTTAGTAGATGATTTTTTGAATTAAGCCTAATATCTTAGCAATTCC